TCCATTCCAAAACAATCACCAAGGTGGAAGCACCAAATGAACAATCAACTTGAATATTATATCTAAAATAGCAAATCACATCCTAAAAATCTAATTATTTTTCTATCGGAACATGCATTTGTTAATGATCTGTAGCCCAGAAATCAGGGCCTAATTCAACTTCTAAGTCCTCTAATAAAATCCTAAGTTGCAATGTGTTAAGAAGATCCATGAATGGGGAAAGGCTCTAAACCTACCTCTAAATCAGAAGCTATGATTTTCTAAAAATTGAGATGAAAATTCTATGGGAGCATACATCTCTAACCTAACAGCCAGCAAAATCTCACAACAAAATTACAAACCAATTGCAAGAACAAAAATCAACAAACAGAGGCATCAATTATGCAAAATTAATGAAATATATAAAATAAGAAAAACATGAATTAAATTGAAAACACATCAAAAATTAAATCTAATGGTACAGAAAAATCAAGAATTCAGAGAGGATCATAGGGATATTTTCTTTTTATTTTTCTGATCAAAAATGAATTTAAAAATGATTTTAGAAGATAAAAGGAATTAATGAAAATAGAAAAAGAATTAAACTAATTAAAATTCAGGAATTAGTGTGATGCGTTAGATGGATTGACTAAGTAAACAGATCCAAGGCCTCTCAGTGTGTCCACGCAGGCATCCCAGTCACACGCTGACTAGGATTAATGAAACGATGTGTTTCATATTGTTGGAGCCAACTCTGAATTCAAATCTGAGCCACACGATCAGATGACAAAGTCCAATATTCAGACTAATCCAACGCTCCACACTTCATCTTCCCCAACGAGCTCCGGTGAACTGTGATTTTCAGACGGTGGCGCCACCATCTTCTCCGATGAAGGCCAAGTTGCAGGTGTCCAAAAATTACAAACTTTATATCAATTCCACTCAAAATTGCATGCTGATCACGAATATCCATTCCAAATCATCTAATTCCTCGTGGATCTCAAAAACCGAAGCAACTCTCAAATTATGTCAAATTTTTCATCGTCACCAAAACCTAATCTAAGAGCACAGATCTTCTCCTCGTGCTTCACTGATCAATGTAAGCTATTCCAAATGTATGAATTCCTCATGATCACTTCTACTCGAATCAAAACAGAATTCATGGTGCACTCTTGATCATCACCAATTATCACCAATTCAATCCCAAAACGTGCTACATTTCACATAGATCCTAGCCACATGCTTGTTTCTAACTACATCATACTAGATTAAGAGGAAAGTTGAGATTTACCAACCTGACTTTGAGCTTCGAATAAAGGTATCTATGGCTTGTTTCCTGCTTCCAAAATCTCCAGATTCCTTCAGTGATATGCAAGAAAGATGATTCAATCTTCAATTTGATCTGAAACTGGCTTGAATCTAAAACTCGAATTTGAGTTGAAGCTTGAAAATTTGAGTTGCAATCTCTGAATTCAACACCAATGAATCACCAACCCCTATCCAAACGCGTTTCTGATCATTTATAGAACTGATTAGAACCTTCTAGAGGCCCAGTCCAAGCCCAAAATCAAAGATCCAAAAATCCAATTTCTCCAAAAAGTTTGAACATGCCATGCACAAATTTGGCTCAAAATCTTGCTTGGGAAGCTTTGGTTAGCTTGCATAATACACTTAGAGTGGATTCAGGCCCAAAGGACACTCCAAATTGGCTTGGTGAATGATTTGTTGTGATGTTGCTTATTTGTGAAGTAATCTTGTAAAAGCCCATGAATTATAGGTCAATTGCCAATTCTAGAACTGCCAATGTTTCTAAATCATCATTTATGATCAAATTGAGTGGTCATTTGGCCTATTTTGTGCACATAACAATTTATTTGAATTTTTCAACTGATAAGCCTTTTAAATTCCCCCTTTTTAAAGTTTCTTCATACCAATCCATGCTATGAGCCAAACCAATTCACCATGAGTCCTTGGTTGACCTAAAAACCATATTTTAAGCAAGTTCCATGTTGAACAAAACTCCATTTGAGAAGTGCAAGATAGAGATTTTGACCTATGATTGAAAATGGCCAATAATCTCACTTTCCCAAAATACCCCTGCTTTGTAAAGCTTGTAACTTGAGCTCCACAAATCAGAATGGGGACTTCTATAACTTTTTGTAAATATAAGATCATGAGGAACAATTCTCATGTTCACCAAAAAGTCAGGTGAAACTTCCTTCTAGGTCAAAAATAACTTGGAAGTCAGATGATTTTTACAGACAAATTTCAGAGGCATCTGAGGACCTGTAACTTGTCTGGCTTGTAACTTGAGTTCTACAAATCCAATGGATGACTTCTAGTACTCAAATTAAAGGTATGAACATCCTCTACAAGACTCATGCTTGGACCAAAGTCATATGAGGCTTGTATTTTGACTTACATGGCTTGGAAGTTTGGCACTAAACAGGGGATTTTACCCTAGAAACCCTGACTTAGCAACTTCAACCATTCTTGATTCTTCTCAACTTGATCTTGAAACAACCTCTCATGTGCCTCAACATATCATTTCATGATCTCAATGACCTAGAAGTAGGCTTTGATCTTCTGCAATTGCTCATTTTGACCTAGGATTAACCGGATGAAACCCTAGCGACACCCACTTCCACTGTGGCTCTTGTACTTGCTACAAGCATTTGAATGAGCTCTATCTTGATCCCCTAAGAACTCCATGAGCTCTATCCACATACCATATCCACACCCAAGGCTCCACAACCTCTGCTGCTCTTCAAATGGCTCCTCAGTTAAGAGATGAACCCCGTACAAGCAACTGAACTTCTCAAGGACACAACCCACCCTTGATCCTCTGTTAAATGAAGGATATTAGGCTATGCAAATGCTAGAACTATGCTAGAACAATGTTATGCTATGCAATAAAACATAAACCAAGTGATAAAAAGGTTGGGCAAATTTTGGGGTGCAACACTATGCTTCGTAGGCTCTGAAAAGAGTAATGATGGCTCACGATTTTGATGATTCCCGAGAAATCTGCCATGATATCCATGACGTCAAAGATCGTGCATCAAGGTAGCGTGACAGTTCCTTTTTGCGTGAAATTTTGGATATGTCCCTTCCCATTACCTTTCAGCTTCCCAAACTCGAAGCGGTTGAAGCGGGTGAATACTCAGGATATAGTCGAAGCAAACGGCGTCGAAATTGGATGCTGTCAAAAAATGTACTTTTTGAAAAGTCGAAAATCTACATTTTTGGGGGGCAATTTGTTAGCTCGCCAATTCGACGACCCATATTTTGAGGTTATTTTGGCCTTTTAAAGGGCCTACAGGTTCTCCAAAGACTTAGAAAGTTTAGAGTCTTAGAAAAAGGTATTCGACCGAATTGATGAATTAAGGCCTTCGACCGAAACATCGAAGTGGGGATTAATTGAGCTTTTGAAATTCAAATATTGGAGGGAGTGGTTATGCTTTCTTGTGACTAAGAAAGACAAATGGAGCTCATTGGACAGAGGACTACATGCAGTGTGACACTTGTCGAAAATAGATGGCCTACAGAGGTTATTAGTAGTTATTATTATTATTATAAATAGGAATCTTAGACATAGGATTCGGGTGTGTTGTAATTTACTATTGTACAAGTCACTCTTAGAATTACTCCAAGTATCCGAGTGTAGAGAAAGAGAGTATTACAGAGAATGTATGTGATGTAAACACATCATTGTTTTATTTTAATGAAGTTATCTTGTTCTTATTCATTTTACCAAGTGCTCTTCAGCATTTTATATCCTTTTTCTCCTTCACATATGCACTATCTTTTTACTTCGACTAAGACTTTTTTTTCTTCTTTTCTTTACTTCTAAAAGAATCTCTATCATTTTCTCACCCAAACTTCTCTCTTCTTTCTCTCTTCAAACTCATAAACAAACTTTACTTTTTAGACTATGTTTCCAGCACTGTCGAAGTGCATATTTTAGACGAATTTCAAAAGAAATAACTTTTTTTAGCACATGTCCTAAGATTTCGTATGGTCGATCCTGCAAGTTAGTCAATTTGATATCAAGTTGATAGACCAGAGGTTGTCTACCAAAAATCACGGTAAACACCGTGCGATTGAGAGAAACGAGTCGTGAGAATGTACGTTGCTTAAGCACCAGTTTTCATTTCAATGTAATTTAACACTTCTTTTACTTAAAAGTTTATTTTTCTTTATGCAAGTAATTATCCTTGTCATTTATCAGCACTTTGCTTTCTCTTACCGTTATTTAAATTCATTCATACTTGAAATAAGTTGTCTTACCATGGAACTCGTCAAAGCGTTTATAATTCTCATCCACTTCACTTAAAAGACAAATTAGCACATGTCCTACGATTTGTGTGGTCGAATCTGCAAGTAACACGGGTCTCTTTCGATTTGTTAGACCAGCAGTTGTTCGCCAATTTTCACGGTAAACAATTTTCTTATGTAAAAGTAATTTAAATTAAATATTAATATTTATTATTTAATTTTTATATGATATATTGTTTTTATAAATTTAAAAAAAAACATAGTATACATTAGCGTCAATTTAATTGGCACAACCATTTAACTCTAATTATATATGCGTCAATTAGATTGACAACACTAATCGTCAATTCAATTAAGGTCAGCCACTATAACTCTAAGTGAAGTCGTCAATTCGCAAAACATTAATTTTACATTTCAATTTTTTTAAGTGGATTAGTTTTTTAAAAAAAAATGTGAGAAAATCAGAAATATATTTGAAAACGTGAATTATTTGAATAAAGAAATTCATTCTTTATATTATTGATATAAAAAATTATCACAAAAATTTATCAATAGAATTTCTGTACTCCAATTAATTATAACAAAAAGAATGAAGAATGTGAATAATACGAAACAAAAATATACAGTACTAAACAGAAAATAACAACCTATATACAAACATAGCCGTATCATGTGTCATCGTATACTTTCCGTATAAAACTATCTACTAAGTTCTAACGAATAAAACAATAAAAATCTCTCCTCTACAAACTCAAACATCCAAACCCAACAAACAACAAAGACAAAAATAACGACGCCACGTGTCTTCGACCACCATAACTAGAATCTCTACCCCTCGAAGTAGTACCAGTAGTTGTCCCATTAAAATTCGGATTAGAACCATAAAGCTCTTGAATCCCTTTAATATCATCCTCCTCAAGTTCAACTTTCTTCGTTCCCGAACTTATCGTAGGATACATAATAGCCTCTTCAACAGACGAATGCCCTAATCCTAAAACATGACCTATTTCATGAACTGCAACAGATTCCAAATCAATAGCGTTAGACAAAGACGACTTCGTTATGTCTCCGTTAACCACCCAGTCCTCCGCTTTATCTAGGTGGAACCTTCCGTCAGTCGGTGAAAACGCGTGTGCTAACGTACCTAAAACTCCGTCGAATGGTTCTCCGTCTCCGTGATCACCACTGTAGAATCCTATTTTAATATCAGCGCCTCGATAGAACGTTGTTTCGGTGAAGGTTATTGTTGTTACTTTCGACCATTGGTTAAACGCGTTTGCGAATACTTGTTTCGTTGCGTTGTCGAGATTCTCGTTTGGATCGAATGCGTAGGTTAGGGTTTTTGTTCCCGCCGGCCAACGGGGCTTGCCGGGGAAGAATGCGTAGTGTGCGACAGTATGGAGATTTGGGTCCTTGAACTTGCCGGAATTCATGGAGGTTGTTCCGTTGATGATATCAGCGACGCCGCATCGTGGTTTGACGATGTCGTTCATTGTTGCGTTATCGAGTTCACCGGTGATGTTGAGGTTGAAATTCTTCTGGTAAGCGCGTACAGCGGATTCTAAGGCCTCGTCAAAGTCGTCTGTGAAGTTTAACGGTGGCGCGTTGGGGATGTAACCGAAATGTTGAAAATAGTTTTTGAGTTTGGAGAGTCCGTTGTATGTTTTGCCACGAGAACAGCCGGTGAAGTTTCGGTATCCGTCCCACGCGCCTGGTGGGCGTGGTTAGTCATCCATGTAGGGATTTCAGATGGATTAGGAAATAAACGAGCTGAAACTGAAGTTAATGTGATGCTAATTAGTGTTAATATTGGTAAAGCGAAAATATGCTTGTAATAACATTTGTTTTGGGTAATCATGTTTTGCTATGGAGAAATTATTACGATGTTAATTATGCAATGAGAAGATATATGATGGTTTTGGTATAAGTAATGTGATTTATGAGCTATGGGACAAGTATTTGCATCTAGATGTATATATTATATGATGTGAAATTGTCGAAAAAACATTGGAGTCTTCGTCAACTATGTTGAAAAGGTTTGTGTCATGTTTGAATGATTCGTGTGGATGTAAGGAACATGGAAGAAGCAGTGTCATTGGAAACTTCGATATTGTTTGTTGAGGACATGGTGAGCGATATAATATAATATATAGTTTAATAATGTATATGGAATAATTAACAATCGTGTATATATTAAACAAAGAAAAACAGTTACATATCGAAGGTGTTGTTTGACTTTGATACTTTAAATGTATTGTGTTGTATGTTCGATTCCTGTTTTTGGAGCATTAGTTTATTCTCCAAAGTTCAACAACTCTATTGAATTATAATATTACAATTGACGCGAATTGAAAGTTAAGAGGAGCAAGAGAATCTATAGATCCTCTTGATCTATAGAGCTATTAAGAAAGATAATAGCACGCTATCTAATATACCTTTTCTTGTTCAATTTTATTTCACTAAAAAAAATAAGTCATTTACAAATAGAACAATTATACAATTTTAGTTTGATTTACACAATGATATCTGACATTTAATTTGTTTTCCACATTTTAGATACACTTTTCTCTCATGTTAGGTTATTTGACCAAAATTAAATGTAGTTGATGAATGGGAAATTCTCGTACTTTTAATCTCCGATACGGTAAAGTGGGGATGTGAATCTTAAAAGTTTTAAACGCGTAAGTTAGTTTAAGATTTAAGATGAGTGTAATGAAAAGTAAAAATTAAAAAGTGTACATTGATTTTCGTGTGAACTGGTTTTATACTTTGAGTCAAGTGGAGTGGATTTGAGATGAATTGGACCTTAGTTGTTTTGGCCAACCAAAACAGTTTTCCCTAAGCTTTGTCGGGCACAAAGAGAGTCGGAGAAGCCATTAGTGATTTTGGTCAGCCTCTACGGATGTTGTCCAATGCAAGCAAGAAATGAAACACCTAGAGTCATTTGAAAAAGTAGTGGGAAGCATGCGCATTAAATGCATTATCATCACTGAAATGTTTCGTTGCTTCCTCCTAACATGTGGGATGATGTGACTAGCTAGGACACAGCGCTGCATATAGCACACTCGAGTACACTTGAGTTTACTTATATTCCCAAGGAGAAATTCGGTCGTTGATCTTGTAAATCTTCTTCCTCGCTGATTTGGGTAGTTCACTCATCTTCGCTTGTAAATAGGAGGAGTTGGACATTGAGGAAACTTTTCACAATTATTGATGTTCAAGTTCCTTCATATTCGCTCTTATTAATAAATGTCTTCGTCTCTTCCTTCCTAAGAGCATTTATCAGAGCGATTGTAGTTCTTTGATCTAAATATTTTCCTTTCTTTATTACTTCGTTTCATCAACCTTGCATTCACCAAGTACCTTTCTCAACTTAAGTTTTTACCTTCGTCATTTCGTGTTTTCTGGTCAAAATGAGAGATAACCCTATTTGTATACTAAGTGACTCTGAGATCGACGTTTCTTCTACTGTGGGAATGGGGGTGACTCCCGATTCTCATCTTCCTCCCTTTGCTCGCGATCGTATGGGCAAAGAATTTATATCCATGTATGACAATTCTGTTTCAGAAAGGGTGTCTAAGAACTATCTTGATGATGGAACTTTTTTGCTCGACCCATTTGAAGCTTTTTTACTAGATGATGGAGAATGGAGGAATTGTAGTGAGGTCTCCATGCCCCCTTCAGTTTTGGCTGAGGAGGAAATACAAGCTATCAAGCGGATGAGGGAACATGCTGACAATTTCATCCAACTTTATCTGAGAACAAATGACCGTGAACCTGGCGATGCTTAAGTGATAACCCACTTAGGGCTTTGGGGCAGGCCCGATGTAATTTCTTGGATCACACCCAGTGAGAATTATAAAGTCGACTAATTGAGTTACAAAGGCGTTACTTTGGTGGATCTGGTCGATGTAGTTAAGTATGGATGGGTGGATGCAAAAGTGGTGAGTACCTTATCCGTTCTTAGTACTGAAGCTACAATAGATGTTGGAGTCGAGGTCGCGACCCTCTAGACTGGTCAATTCTTCTTGTGGGATAGTAGAAGAAGATATGCAACACTTTTAATGGTTGCGTTGTCCTGCTTTAAAAGTGTTTATTCACAAGAATATGACTGTTAGACGACGGCGCCGATCTAGAAGGGGGTTGAATAGATCACTTGTTAAAAATAGAGTCGGCGCTTACCAATATTTGGTTTTAAAAGTTTTTAGACGGAAGCGGCCGAGGAACTATATTCGTCTAAAATGAACCTTTACTGAAAAGACAAGATATACAAAAAGCCTATGGAATTCGATAAAAACGAGATTAAGAATCCCTAATTTGAACACACATCAACTAAAATTTATTCACTATGAGGTTGGATTGTTTCCAATACGTGTAAAATATAACCAATTGAAAAGACAGCACAAGTGTTTGTGTTCACACAATTAGTCAAACACTTGGTGTTCAACGCACCACAAGTGAATTTCAATATGTGAGTGAAGTGCTATAGTATTCAATTACAATCAAGGATTGTAATAAGGTATCTAAAAATGGTTCAGCACTACACACATCAGAATTTTGATCAACTAAATTGTTTGCACACAAACTCAGAATTTAAGCAATTGAAAAATAAAGAGAGAATACTAATTTGTTGAGGCAATTCCCCCGTCGTCCTCGCTCGGGGTAAGTCTGCCCTCAATTCTAAAAATAGAATTGAGACCTATATATATATATATATATATATATATATATATATATATATATATATATATATATATATATATATATATATATATATATATATATATATATATATATATATATATATATATATATATATATATATATATATATATATATATATATATATATATATATATATATATATATATATATATATAAAATCTGTTTGCAAATGTTTACAAGAGAAGCAATAGAATTCAAACAATCAAACCCAATTGTTGATGCAGAGCCTATTCCTTCTCTTCCCTTGATTCAAGCTAAATTAAGTCCTTCGAACACGAAGAATAAACCTCCAATTACGACACACCCTTTGAACAACCCTATGGTCTTTAAATCTTGCCCGACTGATTTGGGTACTTTTGAGATGCTCTACCCTATTGCAAGCTAGACCAACATAATCAAACCTATATGGAGCATATATTGTATTTTTTCTATATGTATCTAAACATGTTTTTGACCGATGTTTGACGTAAGAGGAATAAGGTATGCATACGCGACACAATGATATCTTCCAAAATACATTTTTCTACCTATGTAAGTTTTGACATCATTAAAACAATTATAGCTAACTATGAGGAACTTTGCGCTCACATACTCCCTTTTTTTTATGATGACAAAATAGTATAAACTTGGAGTACAATGCATTGTATCATCTTCCCCCTTTCTCAATGCATTTGTCTTCATACAATCTGTATGTTCAATAAGTCTTACAAGTGATGTTTCTGCTTGATATTCTTATCCCCTTTTGACAACATCAAAAAGAAAGAAGATATAGATTAATGTATTACATATTATAAAAGAGATAAGAAAATTCAAGCCATTTGCAACAGGTTAGTCGTCAACAAATATTCACATATAATGCAGTCAATGAAAGCATATAGATGGATAAATAGAAAAACACTCAAAGGAACAAAAATATTGACTATTTCATAACAAACAGTAATCATGTCTTCATAAAGCAAGTAAATACAAGAAGAATTCTACAATAGAGGTTAATGAACACAATATGGAATGAGAAGCACAATGAAATGTTCAAGACAACCTCAAGGTCTCCTCCCTCTAAAGTGATGGCCTCGTCCTCGAAAGGGATATTCTGTTAGTGAGAGCTCGATATTGTCTTGCTGCAGTTTCAACTATGTCATCTATCCTACCCATCACAGCTGATGTAAAGGAATTGAAGTTTTCAGTGTAAGCTTGAAACTAGTTCAGCAATTGCGAGAACCGCTCATCTTGGGCAGACATGAAGGTTTGTTATTCAAGCTGCATGCTCCTCATCATATCAAGGAGATCATCGGTGTTTTGTTGGGGACGCGGAGGAGATAGAGGCACGTAACTCCAGTCTGGGGTGTCTTTATGATCCTAATTCGACGCTTGTGGCACGTAATTGTCACGTAATGATGTCCATCCAGTGTGTTGCCAAGCGCCCCAGCCTTGGTTATCATCATGCACCAAGTAGGGTGATTGGTCTAGCCAACCACTATCATAACAGCCATCGGTTTCCATGGGTTGTCCATCTTCTTCTTCTTCTTCTGCTTCTGCTTCTTCTATGTGTTCATCACTCTCATCAGACTCTTCCGACCGAGAACTAGTGGCCTTAACAATGAGTCGATAGCGAATATCTTGCAGATCCCAGATATACCCCATCATAACCAGAGTTTTTTGATAGAACTCTTGATTAGTGGTCAAAGATGTATAGCGAATACCTGGAACAGTGATGTTTACATTGTTGAGAACCATTTTATAAAGAACCCATATGACAGAGCGGTTCCTCTACCAAAATCCTTTAGTGAATAGATTCAAATAGAAATGTAATGAGGCCAACTGATCTTGATCTTTTTCTTAAGGATGTATACCAAGTGAGCATCGGCTTGATCCATCCGTGAGTAGCCACCTTTCTTGGGATGCGGGATGTGCGACACAATCCACTGCAGGATTCTATCAACAAGTTTCAATTTTCCAGTCGTGATCGTTTTCGAAAATAAGTCACTTGCTACGATGTCAGCATCATAGGGTTTCTTCAGCATGGAATTCAAGGCTTCCATTAAGTCATAACATGCCATAGTACGAGAATTTGTTGCCTTAACGATTAGCTCAGTGGACACAAGTGATATATCGAACAGACTTTTCCATACCAAG